GTTCTAGAACTTACCCGATACCTCCCTTCTATATTTTTCAGTCTTTATAAAATAGTTTGAGCATATTGTCATAATATATTGATTGTTTATTGTAATCATATAATATCAGATTTAAATACTAAAATAAGTAACGGTTGAAAATTTATAAGTATTGGAATAAATTGACAAAATTCCTTATATAACTTAATACAAGTCTGGTAATAGGGAACCAGGTGTATATTTTTATATTCCTATAAAAAAATTAATCGATATATGATTTACCATGATATCCAAATCTGAAAGCTGAATTTGATCTGTTGTCCTATCTCGAATACTTTGCAATAGTAAGCCATATTTGGTGATTCGTTGGAACGGCTTGCACAAAATACCTGTCAATCCTTCTCTTGTTTTAAGATCGCTGTTTTGGCTTATCCACTTTAAAAAGATGGTACAACATTTCATTTTCAAGTTATTTTATATTCTAATGTGATAAAGTTTAATGTAGAAAAGCTCATATTTTATTTTAAAATGTAAAAATTAAAACAATTAATGCCATTTGTGAACTAGATAAAATAAAAGATATGAAGACTAAGATGGTAGCCCTTGGTATGGTCGCAGTCTCCTTTCGATTTATAGAAGTGGGTTGAGCTTGGTGTCGCAACTTGGTTTTATTGTCAGGGAGACTTAGTAGAACGCACCTGGTCCGAAGTCCTCTTCATTATTTGTTTTAATAATTCCCAGCATCAGACCGTGGACGTGATACATTCTCACACGTTTTGCCGGCATCGTAGTCGACATGATCAGTGAGTATTGCAATTCTCCGAACCAAGCTAGAAACTCATAGAGAACGTGCCAAGTTCACGGCCTGATGCTGGAAATTATGATAACTACTATGGCAGAGGACTTCGGACAAGGTGTGTTCTACTAAGTCACCCTGACAACAAGACCAAGTTGCGACAACGAGGTCAGCCCACTTAGAATAAAATTTATAGTTTTTGAGTAATTTTATTTAGAAATAATTTGCTAGTTATTATCGTTGATCAAATATTTCTAATTTCATTTATACAGTTATAGTGATTATGCTTGAAAAATGATAAGATAATCTGCGACTTAATAAGAATTGTTTCTAAGGCAGGAAATAATTAAAAATATTTCACAGTCTAGTTTATAACTATAAAAAATATATAGATTTGCCAATTATGGGCATGTTTTTTAAATGACACAAGTTCATAAAAATTACTGCTACCTGTGAAATACAAGTTTAATTAAAGGTACAATGCAAAATTTCAGATAAGATAATTTCCTGCTTTTATCCCATAATTAGTAATGAGATACTGCAAAATATGCTAATTATTGCTTAATAAAACTTTTCCAAAGGGTATAAGAACAAAGGAAAATGTGAGATTCGCATCAATTTTATATAGTCTTACCTGTAAGTATCCAGAAAAGAATATATTTTCTCTTTCTTGTATTTGTACAAAATTAATGATTCTATTGTACAATTGAAGGTATTCAAGGTAAGGTAGAAAATAATCAGCAATCTGTATAGAAGATTAATTAAAATGTTCATATCAGTAGAAGTAATATTAATATGAAATATTTATGAGAGCAGGGTATATACAGATTATCGAATTCAGCCAGACTTCCATCACTAAAACAGTATAAACTATTCGGTAATCATTCGTTTTAATAGACTAGTTTGGAATTCTTGTTGTTATTCACTTCTATTTAAAAAATTATTTTTCTAGAGTCGGCCTCCTGTTAAATGCTAATTAAATCCTAGTATTAATTTTGCTTATATAATATTAGAAAATAATTTTACAATATCTAATTCTATCCACAATTGTCTTGATACTTTTCGCTTAAATTCATAATAGCCTTCCAACAATAAGGCCGAATTATGCCATGTCCCTGTTTGAACTTCGTACAATGCATACATAGATGCTCAAAAGGATTTAACCATAATTTCAAGATTGCACCATATTTTTCAATAAAGATTCACCCTAAATGAGCAATTACAACTAATATTCATCCAACTAGATTTAAGGTGTTGTGGCCAGCTTCTTCAGCTTATTATTACTGACAGATAAGTGATATTATAATAAGCAATAAAATCGTTGAAATATATGCCTTAAACTCTTTATTTATTTTGTGCTTGTTACTAATGGGATGGGAACGGATCTGTTGCACAATTAAGATAATACCAGCTTTAAGTTTTACTATTTTACTCATTTACACGAATTTTCAGCAAAGTAAACTTGTAGTGATACAGTTTATTCTCGTTTCATTCGTCTTACTAACGATTTTCATCACAAATATAAGTGAAATTATCAAATAGAACATTTATCAAAAATTCTTAAAATATAAAAAATATTATTTTAAACCCTAATTTTACCTTGACGAATCCTTTTTTCAAAAGACTAGGATTCATCTTTTCTCCAGTTTCTCTGGATCTCAATAGGGGAAGCGAAAGACATTCAAGCCAAAAGAAGCAATTAGCTCTAAACACCGCCCCAATATTTCCAAACACACTATAAAGCGAGAGCTCCTCAAAAAAACAGATTGTCTTTATTATATCTAGAGAGAGCATATTTTCCTGTCCCGGAATCTTTTGTGTGATTTCAGTTAAGGCAGCCGCTGAATTTGCGTCAATAATCATACTTCCCTCAGTGTTAACCTGAACTTGGCCTTCGTTGGTAACTTCCAGCGAATCTAAGCAAACATCATTCAACATTTTCTCCTCCTCTGGTTTATCGAAGATTGATATCGAGGTTATAAGGTTTGAAGATGTTTGTTGCTGTGCTTGTGTTCGTGTAGTAGTATTATCTATCCGCCTACTTTTATGATGGTTTGAGATATGTTGATCTGATTGATGCTGTGACTCGAAATTCTGATGTTGCGGTGGTTGTGGTTGCAGTTGCATTTGCTGCTCTGTATAGTCAAGAATTTTCCCGCTGATATCAGACGATACCAGGGCCATACTTGACGTGGATGTAGATGAGGAAGGCACAATTGTAGAATGATAAAAAACTTCTGTTTTCTCTGGAGGTGTCTGCGACGTTATGCCTTCAGGAATGCTGGAACTTGACGTCGAAAAAATATCCATAGGTGAGACCTGTTGCGGATGGAATCGAGAAGTATTTGATTGTGGGGATTGTGAAGAATGTGGTGCTTGTGCCGTTGCGACTGAAGCTTTTATTTCAGGTTGCTGCAGCTGAAGTGAGTGCATGCGAATACAGGGCGATGGTGTTGTCATTTTGACCAAAGGCATATGGGAATAGCTCATTAGGGAAGCGTTTGAGCGCGCCAAGTTTATATTTGCGGCCTGATATCCTGTTAAAGGTTCATTTGAAGCAGTTTTTACTGGATAATTAACAGAAGTAATTTGACCAGGATTCTGAGTTGAGAGGCTAGGATCTATATACCGCAATCTGCATAGATCGCGCGGACATTTAAGATCGATCATGACTGCAATGTAAAACTGTATGCAGGTAAATATATATGACGAAATATTAAGAATTGTATTCAAGGCAGGAAATAATTTAAAATGTTTCACACCCTAGTTTATAAATATACAAAATATATAGATTTTCGAATTATGGGCATGCTTTTTAAATTATACAAGTTCATAGCAATTGCTGCTACATGTGAAATACAAGTTTAATTAAGGGTACAATGCAAAATTTCAAAGAATAAATAGTGTATACACATAAAGGTAGTATAATCCTTTATAGTAAATCGTATGCAAAAAATAGTGCTTATTCTTTCATTAATGAAACAAAAAACCCAAAGCCGAAATTTGAATAAAGAATGAAACTTAAGTTATTTCTCTGGAATATTTTAGTTATTTAAGGGTAATTAATAAAAATATTCAAGTAAAACTATTTCACCAAAAGAAAACGAAATACATATTTAGACTTCTCATATTGCTAGACAGATATTTGATACAATAGCATCAGACTTGTACAAGCTAATGTAACAAAAAGTATACTTATCAAAAGAACACATTAGTATTAGGCCAAACTAGAACAAGCGGAATCAAAGAAATAAAAATACATTTAGGAATCTATGTTTATTAATAAGGCCTAAATCATTATTTCAATAATATTACCAGAATTTTAATAAGGATAATAATGATTTCAAAATTTATTAATTTTTGGACTTGTTTAGTGAGGCTGGTGTATACGTGCTAACAAAGACTTGAGGCAGAGTGTAAAACATAGCACTTTGAGTGGCATGGATACGGTGGCAGCGAGAGTGAAATCTTTGAAACAGGCAGATAAGGGAAGGAGCCTCAGGAGCAAGAGGGGGATGCTGATAGGAACCGAAGGGAGATGCTTGCGGATTAAATTGTGGCCTTGGCTAAACAGTCATGGCACAATGGGGGGAGATGTG